ACTCCTGGGCTCAAGCGAGTCTCCTGCCTCCGCCTCCCAAGTAGCTGGGACCACAGGCGCCCGCCACAACGCCCGGTTATTTTTTGGTTGCAGCCGCCATTGTTGTTTGGCGGGTCCGGGCTAGGGATTCGAACCCGCCACCTTAGGTGTCCGTGGCTGGCACCTTAGCCGGTTGAGCTATAGGTGCCGAACCTAAAAATAGATATTTTAATAATTTTAATCTCTAATCGTAAGAATGAAGTTATATAAGCTTTTTGTAAACATATGTGAACTACTTATAAACACACAGATGAAAAATTATTTCACACACACAAATAAGATATTAAGTAAAACAATCCCACCAGAAAGCTAAAAAAATCAAAATCAAAATTTTTTGTAAAAAAATGTATACTTTTAAGATACACTAAATGCAAAAGATTAAAAACAGGAATTTTCATTTTTATTTAAAACAAAAGTCATATATTTCAGAAAATTTGCCTAAGTTATAAAGCATATGAAATGGCACAGTTTTAGGTATCTACTGAGAATCTCAGACTGTATCCCCCCAAAGATAAGAGGTACAACTGTATTTAGAAAGTGTTTTTGTAAGTTATGTGAGGTTATGTGATAAGTCACTAACCCTAAACAGAGAAATTATTAAAGAAATCAATGTGAAAAAAATTTTCACCCAATTCTAGATAGCTAAGGTAGCAACAAACTTTTGGTCAGTTATGAATACAGCAATTAATTATACATACAAAATATAATTCTATAGGTAAATTTTAGAGTAAATATGAACTATATGGCAAATATCTCTTTGCTGATTAGCCTGTAAGGAATGTCACACAATGAAATGGTGAGGTAACAAATTTCTTTTTTTTTTTTTTTTTTGAGACAGAGTCTCACTGTGTTGCCCTTGGTAAAAATATTTTTAATAATACTAGAATATAGCTCGGCGCCTGTGGCTCAAGTGGCTAAGGCGCCAGCCACATACACCTAAGGTGGCGGGTTCGAATCCCCAGCCCGGGCCCACCAAACAACAATGATGGCTGCAACCAAAAAAAAAAAAAAAAAAAAAAAAATACTAGAATATAAAAACCTTAAGTTAAAAAGATTAAAACAAAGAAAATATTAAAAAAATACTATATGAAACCAAAAATTTCTAAACCAAATATGTATATTGTAAATGATGTTTAAGACAGATAACAAGGAGAAAATGTTTATAACATAAAATGGTAACTGATCAATATTCAAAATTGGAAAAAGAGCTCTTACAAACCAGCAAATAAGGGGCAATTTCTAAGTTATAAAAGATGAACTCTAAAGAAAAAAGCCAATTAAAAATGAGAAAGATCTGAATAGACATTTGTCCAAAAAAAGATACAAAAATGTCCAAGAATCAAATGAAAAGATGCTGAACATCACTAAGAATCAAGAGAAATGCAAATTAAAACACAATGAGATACTATTCCACACCCGTTAGGAGAATTATCAAGAAAGCAAAGTGTTTTCTTGGAATATTGGAACCCCTGTGGGAGAATGTAAAAATGATATATTGATTATGGAAAACACTACAATGGTTTCTCAAAACTTTAAAAAGAATTACCACATGATCCAGCAATTCCATTACTCAGTATACGCCCCAAAGAACTGAAAATAGAGACTCAAGATGCAATATTCATGGCAGCATTATTTAGAATGGCCAAAAGCAAAACTAGCCCAAATATTAATA